ATTCAATCGATAGACTCATAACGATTGAAAACAATGTTTTTGTTTGAGTTTGGGGTTTGACCAATTAAAAAAAAAAAAAAAAACTAATTCAGACATGCGTGTCCGTCAATCAATAAACAATAATCTTTGTCAATTTTATTTTTCAGTCTTTATGATGGTCGATACTTGATCTATCTCTTGCTGTTACATCTCGAACAGCATGGGCTCTACTATATAGTATTCTTTATATGGAAAATGAAGGCATTGAGAACAATTCTTAAAATATGATAAATGTTATTCTGAGCCTGAAAATTAACTACTAAGAACATTTGTGAAATTATCCAAGTTGATTTAACCAAATTGTTTAAAGATATAACTTGCATAAAAATTATAGTAAAATTTAAATAATTTGTTTTTGAATTTATTCATTTTTAAAAACTTTAATATTTAAGATTTTTTAAATTTATTTTCTAAACATTTTAACTATTAATGACAACAAATTAAAAAAAAAAAAAACATTTTAATATGACAGTTTAAAAATCCAGTGGATGGGGGATTGGGACAAATTTTTATTTTTTTTTACAAATATTCACCATATAAATGGTGCAAGGGCTACTCAAGGTAGAGGATTACTGTGTGGAGTTATATTAGTGCAGAAAAGGACAAGCATTAGGAGCATAGAGGTAAAGTATACTTTAGAAGGAAGTAGAAACCCAATTCTAAACAGGAATAAACCTCTGCTCCTGTTCAAAAGACCAAGGAGGAGTATGAACCAGACCTTTATGCAAATCTATAAAGCTGTTTTTCAGGACAGTTCCAGAATAATGGTGGAAAAACATTGTTTAAAAACAAAAAATTGTTAAGAAATAGTAAATATAAAAATCATGCCTACAAAAGAAAATTCTTAATTTCATCTCAATTCTGTCTCCTTTCATTCTAAATTAAAAAAAAAAGCAGATAATGCACTTTAATAAGGAAAATAAGAAACATGGAAACAGAATTTTGACAGCTTATTTTGAATATTCATGAATGTTCCTTTATTCATGAAACTGTAATCAGGAACCAAAACCACACACACATTATATATATATATATATATATATATATATATATATATATATATATATATATATATATATATATTTTATAGCCCCCAAAAGTTATATTACCATAATACTATTTTATAAACAGTTATTTAAAACTCACACAGCAGATTTTCAATGAATTACATTCTGGACCATCTTAAATATAAATTCTCTTTATGCAAGGATGCTGAGATGGAAAAGTTATCAACCTGATCAAAAAGCTCTTCCTAAAAAAAAAATAAAACAATCTGATGTAGTCACATTTAGAGAATTCGATAAAATTATGTACTTTTCACCACCCATGTTCACAGTGATATAGTGACAATTAAAAACTACTACTTTTTTTTACATACTTAAGATCATTGGTATTAGACTGTTATTCCAGGTTATCAAATCTATGTTCATTTCAAGACCTTCAAAGTTTACTTTTCAAAGCAAACAAGAAACCATCATGCTATGCAAATCAATATTTACTGCCTAAATGACAAAACATTACAATATATGGAATATGGAATTTCTAAATTCAAAATGGCAATTTTGCCCATAACCTCCATACATAGAATTAGTTGGGAGTTTAGTAATATTTCTGAGAAATTTACCAATTTGTTTTGCTTATATTTTAAAAGAAATTACATGAATTTACTTGTAATTGTTAGCATACAATTTAATTTATATAGTCCATCAAGTTAAAAATAAAATCATTTCTTTGGTTAATATCCAAACAAAATAAGTAAAGCTGAACTCAAGTGTTGTACCCCAACCTCATGGCTAACAAGTACCAGATCCTGGGGCTCTCATATAAGGTATAACACAATGAAACAAACAATTCCTTTTACTTCACACCTGTGCATTTATCTGAACAAACTCTAAAACTCAGGTTTAAGGAAAAATAAACAAATAGAAAGTAAATTTTTGTGTATTTTGGTACAGAGAACGAAAAATAAGACACTTTAAATGGAAGCAGAAAAGAGTAGATTACAGAAATCTATCACAAATTCTGTAGATAAAAAGAATCTATGATGTAATGCTCCAAAAAACACTGACTCTCTCCTTTGTCAATTAGGTGTGTTTATTTCCTATTCAAGTTGGAAAAGATGAAATGAAAGAAAGAGAACCAGGAAAGAAAATGAGGAAGGACAAGAAACAATGGAATCATACTAAAATCCGTATGGTTTATGAAGTACTAACCATTTTATTATAAATACTGCTCTCCTATTTTGCCATTATTGTTTCCGAGTAGAACAAAGAATCTATTTCGGCCAAAGTGCTTATTTGTTGATGTTTTTGAGTTTGCAACAAACATGAAGATGATAACTAATAATCTAGTACTTGTAAAATCCATCAACTACTCATCAAAATGTTCTTCCTGGTAACTCATGAATTATGCAGACAGTAAAAAATATGGATAACTATGCTGAATGGCATACAAACTGACGCAATAATTTAACACCATGTATTCAACAGTATACAAAATATACTGTGCAAGGCACTGTTATGACCATAAAAATTCAGATTTACCAAAAACAATGTTCAACTAAAATCTTTTCAAAACATAATAAAAAATGTATCTCAATTCTGACCAGTTAAATTTCTTAAATAAGGATAAGGATTATAAAACAGAAAAGTGCAGATGGCTTAACATGTACAAATTCTGGTTGAGATAGTTTTATGTTCACTTTGCAATAATGTTCTTGAGAAATTTCTTTTCTCTTCATCTATGAGTAAAATAGACTAAGCAATAATAACTTGGTTGCTAACCAGTCTAAAAGAAGGATAACTCTGAATTGAAAAGCAAATGATTAGACATGTGGAGCTAGTGACTGTTGCCCATAAAAATCTACTACAGTAGTGCCAGTGTGGTTGCTATCCTATGTGCAATAGCAACATATATAAAACAAAAAGAGAGCTCCAACAAAACTTTCACCTAATTGACCCTTTAAGTTCAAATGATGATAATTTCCAGCACTGCAGTTCAATGACTGAAGTGTGAATGACGGGAATGTTTGACACTCTTTCACTGTCATTTTATTCCTTTTCTACTGTACTTAATGGTTCAGATAGTAATCAAAGAAATTATTTTTACACTTTGACTTTATTATTTTCAGACTCAGAGTAACATTTATCATACTTTAAGAACTGTTGTCAATGCCTTCATTTTCTATATAAAGAATATTAGTACATTCCAACTATTCACAATCAAAAAAAATTTCATTTACAATCACCTGCCTTTTGTTGACACTAAAACATCTGTATTTGTTTATGATAAGCAGAAAATATACCACCTAAATGTTTTTGTTAATGGTTCATTCAATTTTTTTAACCAAAAACTGACAGAAAAAAAAATTTCTTTCTTTCTTTATTAAAGTAAAATTAGTTCTTATAATTAGATCCTAATGTTTTTCACATTGTGAGATAAATAATAAAAAAAAATATCTAAATTTAAGTCCTTCAACCTTCATTTGGGTTTCATAATCATATACTAGATTGTTTTATAGTTAGTTTTAAAAGATTCATATAGTCTATGAATTGATTAGAAGTTAAATTTAAAATTAATAAGCTACAAAGTGGTTTATGAAAATACTCTTTCTATCTTTTCATTTTTATACAAATATGTTTTGTCTATCTGACAATAATATTTCAGTAAGAAAGACAACTTCAGTGTAAAATATCATCTGTTTGGGATTTACAAAATAAAACCTTTCTGTTGGCTTATTGTGACAAGGTTTATGATTTTGATTACTGTTTTATGTGTATTTGTAGGATGTATAATAGTATCCAAAACAAAAGTTGAGATGATGAAACAAAGTGGAAAAGCTATAAACAATAGTTTCACCAAGCATTTTTTTCAGCTTCTTCAGGTTAGAATGTGTTGTGTCGGAAACCTACCACCCCTCTTGAAGATGAACTTGTCTGCAAACAAAGACTTTAAATAGTGGCATGTCAGGAGACAGATAGACAGAGAAGTTCTTAGCTGAGCTAGTTATTGACTACTCAGGCGATTTCTGTACCTTTTTACCAACCTATTAAAACCCTTTTTATTGTTACGTGTTATTTGGCATTTGTCTCTACTAACCCCAAATCAACATCATAACAGAATGAAAGACAAAATTGTGCAGAAAGAAAATGTGTTGGGATTCTTGAGGATAAGAATGGCCATAAATGAAATTACCTTATTGAATCTAATGGCCATTACTGCTTTATAGAAAGAGGTGCTGGAAAGC